AGCCGGGATGGGGGTGGGGCGTGTGGGGAGGGGCGTTTGCTGGCTTTTGAGGCCAAGTGGCTGGGGAGGCCTCCCTGGGAGAAGCTGAAATCTGGCATCTTTTCCTCTTTTCTCTTTCCAGCTATGACAGCAGCGGGACCTCCAAAGATGAAATTAAGGAGAGGTTTGCACAGACCATGGAGTTCGTGGAGGAGTATTTAAGAGACGTGGTTTGTCAGAGGTTTCCCTTCTCTGACAAGGAAAAGAACAAGCTCACGTTTGAGGTAACTCACGGGGAGGTCTGTGTGTCCCCTGCTTCCCACTGGTCGTCTTTCTCTGGGGAAAAGAGAAAATAGTTCAGATTTTTATCACGGTACGCTGGTTTTGTCATAAAAGGGATTCAGCTCAAGATTTATTGCAGAATAAAACGGAGATCCCAGCCACCGGCAGAGTGGGAGTCACACGCAGGAGAAATGCTCAGGGCGACCTGCGCCGTGTAAAATGACAGGAGATTTGTATACTCTGTTTATTACCGTGTTAAAAATGACAAGACAGGAACAGACTGTGCTCGGGTCTGTCACAGAGTAACCACCTGAGGACACGTCCTATTACCTTGGAGTCAGAGTGTTTCTCTTCGAGGCGCTTTTCCTTTTGAGGACTTGTGTCCACGAGGGTTACAATGTTGCAGGACCTGGCTCGGGGTTATGCCGGGGAAGCTGTTCAGACCGACCGATTCGGTCAACCTTTTATTAACTAGCCATCAAAGCAGATCAGCAGCTTTGCAGGTTTTCATTTCTTGTTACTTTCTTACAAAATGAAATTTGATCAGAAATCGTAGGCAAAATGTACATCTCTTATAAGGGAGGTCGGAATTGGTCATTTACGAACTAGTTGATATAAAGTGGCCCCGAAGGATGCAGTTTATTTAATTCCATCTTTCTCTTTTTCTTTTCAAACAATAGGTTGTAAATTTAGCGAGGAATCTCATATACTTTGGTTTCTACAACTTCTCCGACCTTCTGCGATTGACCAAGATCCTCCTGGCCATCCTGGACTGCGTGCACGTGACCACAGTCTTCCCTGTCAGCCCGATGGCGAAAGGAGAGGAGAGCAAAGGTGGGCGTGTCCTGTCCTTGACCTCGGTGTGCCACAGGGTCCCCGATGATGACATTAGTGCACGTGACGTAAAACCCAGGCTTGTGCTGGTGTCCTGTGTCCAACCTGTGAATAGGAAAAGCTGCCTTTCTGTGTTTAGTTTTCCTCTGTTACAGGCCAGAGCGGGTGCGCGTGGGCCTCTGGCCGGTCTCACAGCGCCGAGAGCTGCGCACCTCCCGCTCTGTCTGGGCCTGTGCGCAGCCGTTTGCGCACATTTACCCGTCGGGCTCTGTCATTCTTATTATGGGTGAGGACACTGGGCCTCGGGTAAGCTGTGTGCTCGGTCCGGGCAGCTGTCAGGGGCGGCACCAGGTCTGTGCCTCATTAACTTCTGTGTCCCTTGTCTGCGCACAGCAACGGGCACATAGTAGGTGGCCAGTAACGTTTGGCAGGTGAATTAATACACAGAAATTCTCCTTTGGGGAGTTCAACACTCACATTGTTTCCAGTCTTCCTCGAAGCCCCTAGTTTTTTATGGTATTATTAATCTTTTCAGGTCCCTAGGGTCCTGAGAATCTGTCAGAACAGAGACAGTTAAATAGCGTGTCTCAGAGCTCGTGGTCCGTGCCAGGCCCCTCAGAGCGCTCTGTAGGGGTGTGGTCAGGACCCAGGTCTGTCCATCCATGGGGTCGGGGAGCTGAGGACCCAGGGTACGCTCATGACCAAGGTCTGTCCTGGCCCTTTAGGCAGTAACGTGATGCGGTCCATCCATGGGGTCGGGGAGCTGATGACCCAGGTGGTGCTCCGGGGAGGGGGCTTTCTGCCCGTGACCCCCATGGCCGCCGCCCCCGAAGGCAACGTGAAACAGACAGAGCCGGAGAAGGAGGACATCATGGTCATGGACACCAAGCTGAAGATCATCGAGATCCTCCAGGTAACCCTCAGCCGGAGGAGGTGGGGGGAGAGTGCCCCGCAGGGGCCGTGTGTAGGCCGCTCCTGCTCTGATGGGCCCTGGCTTTCTGGGACGGGAATGGAGGGAAACGCTCGGCTCAGCCCCAAGTGCCACTAGGACCCAACCCTCTCCATCCCTCCCCTGCCGTCTCCTCTCCATCCCTCCCCTATCATCTCCTCCCTCCCCAACCTGCCCTTGTCCCCCCAGCCTCGCCCGAGCTTCCTGAGGTCCCCTTAGCTTTCCGCAGTCGCCTCCATGCGCACCTTTGCCGCTCCCTTTGCTTCGAGTGCACCCACTGGCGCTTCTGTGTAGCTGACTCCCTGCCGAGGGTCCTGAATTCGGTTCAAGACTCCCTCAGCTTTGCAGGGCCTGCCTGCCCCCGCCTCCCGTGTTCCTTCACTCGCTCAGCAGCTATATTGAAACCGATCCTGAGCCAAGTATTTCTAAGCCTTAGCCACCCAGCCTGAGTAAAATGGGTTATAGTCCTGCTTCTAAAGAGTCTATGTTCTGACATTACTGTTAGATAGTGATGAGTACTGAGGCTGCCAATATACAAGGAGGGTCAGGATGGTTTGGAAGCCGCTGGGGACCGAAGCCAGGAGATAAGGGGAGGGAGGGTGTTGGTAAGGGCCTCACCTAAGGCCAGGTGGCCACCTTCCTTCTTGGCTCCTGTAACAGTCATGGAAAGAATGGCTTTGTTGGAGCAGAGGGCAGGGGATCCAGGAGGTGAACGCAGAGGGGGCCTGAGGCAATCGAAAATAAGCACAAACCAAGCCCACCTTCAGCAGTAAGAACGTATTTCCCCTGTTAATTCTCTTAAATGAAAAGCAGCCACGTTCCCCATTCTCAAGGCCCAGGGTCGGCATTCAGCACTCGCTGAAACGTGGTGTTTGGTAGAGGGCGCAGAGGAGGGTGAGTGACTCTAGTTGCTAAATTAATTGCCGGGATGCTGAAGTCCACGCCGGACGCTGAGGGGCTGTGGGCAGACTTGACCTGCCCCACGGAAGTCGGTGGTCACAGTGACCTGAAATCGAAGCCAGGTATTTGGCTCTCTCGGTGCTCAGGGTGGCCGATGCCGAGGACGGCAGGCCCAGCTCGCGGCGGGTCGCGGGTGGCATGCTCCTGTAACCGCTCTGTCTCCGTTTCCACTTGAATCTGTAGTTTATCTTGAACGTGAGGTTGGACTACAGGATCTCCTGCCTCCTGTGTATATTCAAGCGGGAGTTTGACGAAAGCAATTCCCAGACTTCGGAAACGTCCTCCGGGAGCAGCAGCCAGGAGGGGCCCAGCAACGTGCCGGGTGAGTGCGTCCAGGTGGCACCTGGGCTGGTGAGAGTGGGATCCAAACAGTGCACTTGAGAAAGAGGGTAAGGTGGGCATGTTTGGGGGATGATTGTATTTTGGAACGAAGTCCTAGGGGTTCCTCTTTGGGGGCAGGGGAATGATTGACAGAGCCCAGAGCCTCCAGGGATGGGGCTTGTTTCCTTCCATCCTGGAGTCTTGGCCCTAAGACGACTGAGGGTTCTAGTGTGCGGTTACGTGAAATGCAAAAAAAACAAACCCAAAACAAAATTCTCCAAGAAAACTTAACTGCCCAGCCCGGCCGGGCGTGACTCAGCGGTTGAGCGTCGGCCTGGGATCCAGGCGATCAGGGTTCGGTTCCTGGTCAGGGCACATGCCCAGGTTGTGGGCTCGATCAATGACTCTCTCATCATTGATGTTTCTCTCTCTCTCTCTCCCTCTCCTCTCCTCTCCTCTCCTCTCTCTGAAATCAATAAAGATATGTTTAAAAAAAAGAAAACATACTTCCCACTAGCCACTTTTACTCCCTGCCCAGGAGCTAGTGGTGAAAGATGGGGGGCAGGGTGGGGGGGCAGAAATACTCCCCCCATCAAGGCCTCAGCTCCCCTGGCAGGAGGGTCACCCCGCGCTGTCACAGGGGGTCTTGGTGTGTGTAGAAAACCGACAGAGGTGTGGGGCCCTGCCCTCCAGCCAGGGGCAGTGAGACAGGGCTGACCTGGCTCATTCTCACCGTGGAAGACCCTGGAAGACTCGAGGTTGACCGTGGGCAGGGAGGGGCAGGGCTGCAGGGGGAGGTTTGCCAGTAGCTTGAGTTCGGACCGTCCACGTGTGAAGCTCATTCCCTGACTTGCAGGTGCTCTGGACTTTGAACACATCGAGGAGCAGGCGGAGGGCATCTTCGGAGGAAGGAAAGTATATTTCCAGTTCCGGCTTCGTAAGTGGGTCTGAGACTGGGGCTCCTCTCTCCTGGCTCTCAGCTGCTCCTCCGCCACTGTGCTGGGTTTAGGCTGCTTGGCTGCTGCCTTTCTAATGCTTCGTGCTCAGGTCAGACGATCTTAGTTGGCTTGGGGTGTGTGTGTGTGTGTGTGTGTGTGTGTGTTTCCTGCCTACAACAGAAAGGATTTAAGGAGGTTGCCCCAAATACACACATTACAAGGTTTTTTGAATGGTGAGAAATAGGGTTGAAAGAAAACGGGCTGAACCCAGAGTGGGGTTAGCAACATTGTGCGCTTGTGGGCCGCTGGGCTACAGTGTATCCCCGAGCCCTTCATGGCCCCGGCAGCTGCAACAAAAGCACACTGTCCTGTCGCCGTCCAGAACTGAGGTGTGAACCCTTTTTAAAGATCAGGTTGCTCAGAGTTGACTTAAAACACGATTGAGACCCAAGTACTTACTTTTACGACTCAGATACCCACAGACCTGGAACGGAGACCCCCTGCACGTAGTTCCTGCAATGTAGACGCTTGGCGCCGTTACGCTCTGCTGTGTGACAACCACCACAGACGTGTAATGGGCTGGAAGAGCTGTCATTTTTGCGGCCTCTCACGGTTCTGTGGGTTGGCTGGGCTAAGCCGGGTGGTTCTTGCTGGTCACTGTTGGGTCTATTGTGTGACTGGTGAGCTGGTGATGGGGGCTGGCGCTTCCAACTTGCTTTACTCACATTTCCAGCTGTAAGGCTGGGACCCCCCCCCCCC